AAAGCTTTAGCTGCAAGATCATTTATTCATGAAAGTGATAAACAAGCTAGCATTCAGCTTCTCCTGGCATTTTTTTGAAATATTGCCTTAGGAATTGGAGGAGATGGGGAATAAACTAACGACTGTCTAGAAGTGGAGGAAGGCTTTCTTTTGAGGAAAAGCTGTTGACCGTGTTAAGTCTTCCACGGAAGACAAAGCGATACTTTTTCAAAGCAATATCTTGTGTAAACTTTAATAACTATCTTTTAGTTGGGATATCGGACTACTTTTTAAATGGCAAGATATGTGAAATTTTCAACATTATTTGACTGGATTATTATGATCAAAAATGATACAACTTGGCTGAATATTTGTTATCTGGAACCTCACTGAGTGCTAATAAAACATACTATGTTTAATTTTTGGATTAGATAAGGTGTAACAACATACTTGTTTTTTTGCTTGTAAGAATTTTTTTGGAATGTAAAGAATTCTTAATGCTCTTTTCCAAGAGTAAAAAAAAAAAAAAAAAAGATTAGTAAAGAAATACTTGTGCCCTCTTAGGAGTGTTAGTATAAAAGAGAGTTAATAGTTGGGAAAGTAGCATATGACCTGCAGCTTACTGACAACTTCTTGCTGTCTTCCTGAGTAGACATGCAGTAAGTTGACCCCACCTGTCTTTTGCCTCATGAAATCATTCCTTGCTAGAAATGTTTACTTTTCATACCTATAAACACACATTAGTTTTTCACTGAACAGTTTTACTCTTTATTCTGCTATTATATTTTTAGGAGAAGTCAGAGAACAGAATGGTGACAACCTTGTCCATGCTGCTGTTGTGGCAGAAGGAGCTGCGGTTGGAAGCGCAGAGGCGAATGCGTTCAGTGTTCTGCAGCACGTTTTGGGTGCTGGGCCCCTTATCAAGAGGGGAAGCAACATTACCAGCAAACTCAGCCAGGCTATTGCTAAAGAAACTACCCAGCCATTTGATGTAAGTTAAAAGGATGACTGCAGTTCATGTAATAAGTAAAATGCTTGCTATGCATTGAAAGGTTAGCTAGAATCTTCATTAGTTCTTTCTTGCACAAATTAAAAATATTTCACAAAAGGCCTTCCAACCCTGATTTGTTTTCCATTGCAGAGATGGAATCTAGCTTCCTGAATTCCAGCACTTCAGTTTCTAATAGTAATTATTTTTGTGTGCTTGATACTGAGTTGTTACAATACTTGAAATATAGCTGATAGTAATATTTGTTTTTCAGGCTTCTGCATTTAACGTGAATTACTCTGATTCTGGGCTTTTTGGAGTTTACACCATATCTCAAGCCCCAAATGCTGCAGAGGTTAGTTTCTGATTAGAATTTAAGTATTGAATTTCTATTAATATTAATAACATTACTCTCAAGTGTTTTGATTGGTGTGAAATCTAAAAAGTCAATTCATGTGGTATTTTGCTTAATAATGTTGTATATTCACTTACGACTTAACTCCATTAGCTTGAAATGAGACCTCTTGATGGGGAAGTGCAATTGCCCAGTGTGAACTCGAGCTAGTGAAATATCTTGAATTGCTCACGTTAAGGCTTTACCTGTGTAAGTCTAAGAAGATTATGAGGCAGGTAGTGTCTTTTGATGCTGGCAAAACTGAATACTCTCATTTAGAGTGAGACTGTACAAATCAATGTTTTAAAATCAAAACCGACATTGCTTTTTATTGACTTTGGTGTTTTCTACAGTGTTTTTAGTTTTGTTCAGAAGATCTTTAGTGCTGGGTCAGTGTAGCAATCCTAATGCTGCCAACTGCTTTATAAAATGGTTGTTCTAGTCAGATAATGGAAAGAGTAGAAAAATGTTGGAGTTTTTAAATGCTGGAAGAAATTTTAAATGCTTTAATTTTCCTCAGGTCATTAAAGCCGCTTTGAACCAGATCAAGGCAATTGCTCAGGGCACCATCACAGATGCTGATATCACAAGAGCAAAGTAAGTGGGTAAAGAGAAGAGCTGTCTAATGTGTTAGAAGTTACTCAACATGTAGCTACTTGTCAAGCACTTAAGCTATTTTGTACAGCAAACCACCCAGCAGTCCTACTGGTATTTCTGTTAAGAAGTGCTAAATATCCTGGTTTAAAACTAATTTATAAAGTCAATCAATACTCTCGTAAAGCTACATTGACTGTCTGCTAACAGTAATTCCTAATGGAAGCTTTTTAAAGGAGTGTGAATGTTTACCTGTTTCCATGTAAGAAATCAGTAAGCATCAGTAGATGCTCTTTTAATCATGCACAGTAATTCTGACATGTATTTAAATTAGAATCCTAAATTGCATTATTTAGGTAATTCCCATTGTGGTCACACTGCAGCAATTCCCAAAACAGTCATTTAAACAACCTTGCTCTTCCACATCTTCAAAGAACAGTAATAACGAGGGTCTGCAAGTGTAAAGCACTGAATTAGTGGTACTATATCCAGTGCTCTAAATACATGTCCCATGAGTATTTCAAGATGGGGAAGATTACTGTGCCATTAAAGATGCAGTAATATGAACAAAGTTTGAGAGTTCCTGATTTACAGCGTTAAGCATATAAGCAAGACAGTACTTCCTCTTCAAGCAGCTAAAGAGCACTGAACATCTAAAGCTGTAGTTGCACAATGCAGCAATATTCGACAGGCTCACGCAAGCAGAAGAATTAAGGAATTAAGTGTCGCACATATAACTCATTTATAAGATGTCAAATAAAGCGTGATTACACAGAACATGATAACCTAGATATGTTTAGTTGTGTCTTACTGATTAATAGCTACCTTTATATTTGGTGTTACTAGTTTTCTAAAAAGGGATGTCCATAGTATTAGGAGGTTGCACAGTATTGTGCATTTTTTTTCTTCTCTTCCATTCTGGTATGGCTTCTGTTTTTTCATATATTTTCAGTATTGTTTTGTAATTAACAAAACAACAACAAAGTCAATGATACTTGCACAGTTTTGTAGTCTTGCAATTCAGTCAAAAATGCCAAACTACTGAAACAGGGTTCAGTAGAATATGATTTTGGTTAAAGCATTTTCTGCCATTTCAACTATTTAAAAATAGAAGCACTAGCTTTTAGAAATAAAATTTTCATGTTTAGTAGTGTGACTTCTTGAAATGGAACAAAAATACAGCATAAACCTGCCATCTTCTAAAAAGCATTGAATTGCTGTAAAAGGAACCCATCCATTTGTTCATTACTTCTTTGTACCTTACAGTATTTTTTTCTGCATTAATCTAATCTTGATGAGAAAATGGAATCAATTTTTAAACTAATTCTTGAACATATTCAGAATTGCTTATTTTACCTAATTCCTGAAATACTTGCATTGGTTACTTCAAATTCAAAAAGGTTTTGAGCTAGAGGTCTTCTGACCATGTAAGATGGCTGATCATTCCAAAGCAGTTGGTGTTTCAACAACCCTGTCCCTTCCACAGGACCCTTCTATACTTAGTAAGGCATACCTCAGAAAGGAGAAGAATTTCAAAGTCATAGAAGGCACTAAAACCTTCTTGCCCTTGCCCTTGGCAAGGGAAAAAGGGTAACAACAGGACATAGGCTCAATCATTCTTAATGCTTTTTGATGGCAGAACTCAGCTGAAAGCTGCCTATTTGATGTCCGTGGAGACCGCAGAGGGGTTACTGAATGAAATTGGCTCCGAGTCACTGGTTTCTGGCACGCACACGTCACCATCTGATGTTGCTCAAAAGATCGACTCTGTAGCCACTGCTGATGTTGTGAATGTAAGTTATCTGTCAGCATCCACAGGTATTCCTTAATCACCTTGTCAGTATTTTCTTTTAATACTAAACGAATTCTTACTTGTGTGTGGTTTTAAACATGCATAGATCTTTAAAAAAGCAGCACCTTTTCTGTAAATGCTAGCAGGCTGTCTTTTGAGGCCTGTTTATTTACAAGAAGCCTCTTGAATCCAATACTTTGCAGAGCTGTGTAGCTGAAAGTACCTGAAATTCTCTTCTGTATCAACACAGTTTACCAAAAACACTACTAAAATATTAGTGGAAGCTTGGTAATAGTTCCAGTTCTAAGACAGGATTCCCGAGTCTGGGATGTTTGGTCTAAATGCTAAAAGAATTAGACTTGCATTGGTAAGTTGACATAACAGCCTTGCTTTTTAAAATGTTGAGGGCTTTTTTTGTTTTTGTTTTGTTTTTAGTAGCTTGAGGCAGAGGTAATGAGCAGGAAAACTTGGCTCTTGAACAGAGAAGACTCTGTTGTGGTGAATATTTTGTTATATCCAATCTTTCTGGTTTATTTTCAGGCTGCAAAGAAGTTTGTCAATGGGAAGAAATCAATGGCAGCTAGCGGGGATTTGGGAAATACTCCTTTTCTTGATGAGCTGTAAAAGCAAAGATAAGAGGCAGATTCAAAAGGGACCTGACCTACGTCACCTGTGTTCTAAATAAATCGCTATTAACTTGTTATTTATGAATTCAGTTACTTCCGAAAATTAATCTGCAGTAACTGTGGGCTTGCACAAATCAAATAAAGTGCTGAGTTCATATACTTTGTATTGAGTCTTCTCTACTGAAAATGGTATGTAGAAGCTGGTAACACTGAGTCCATACATTGAAGATAAAACTGAGAAAAAGGTATCGATTTAGCTAATATAAAAGGAAAGAATATCAAAAATAATCCTTTTGATGCAAATAAAACTTGTAATTACTTAACTCTCCATGGATTCTTGTGTATTGAAGAAAAACAAGATAAAATTTCTACCTGTGCCATCTTTACATCAAGTAAATGAAGATACTTACCTTTGAAAACAGATAAATGTATTTTAGCTTTTTAGAGGTGGCCTGCCTTACTCTTCTCAGACTAACAGAGGTGATGCATTTGAATGTCTTCTCCACAAGTAGCATGATCAGATTTCTTTGATAGTAGGGAGGGTACTTCTAGAAGAGACAGCTTTGTGTGGCTGTTTTAAATTTCCTAGGATGCTTAGATTTCTGGAACTGTTAGGCATGCTTCACCATCATCTTCCACTGTAGTAGACTTCAAAATCAAATATTAAAAGTGAGCAGGTATAACACAACTTCAGAAATCTAGGTTTTGAAAAAGTCAGGTTTTGAGCTATTCCTAAGGAAAGCCAAATTCTTCCATCCAGAATGCATCTGATACAGAAGAGCAGGAGGAGGAGGAACTCGTCTCGTTCTCTTCCATAATCCACTTTGAAATAGATCTAATGTCAACAGTATTGAATTCAGAATTATCTGAAGTATCACTGTCATTATGAAGTACAATGTCACATCCAGTGTCTTTGCCTACTGTAAGTGTGTGGCTTGTATTAGATGCGTGACAAGTTCTGGATAGCGATGATAACTTACGGGTGAAGTCATAACATGACGTTTGCACAGATTTACACTGAAATGTTTTGAAGTCTGCATCATCGTTGTCATCACTGCTGGTCTCAGTGTCATCTTTGTCCTCAGTGTCTTCCCCTGATGTGCTAGAAATATATAACAAGTCATTACTCTGACATGCTGTAATTGCGCTAGCCATTTAGTTAACATTCCTAATAATCAAATCCAAGTTTTTAGCCAATACTCAAGTTAAAAACAAGTTTATGAGTTTCAAAGATCCTCTAAGATGAAACTAATAGTACGCACAAAACTATGGATAGTACCATTTCCCTTGGCTTCTTCATATAACAGCGGTATTATCCATAGTTTTGCGCGTACTATTTCCCTTGGCTTCTTCATATAACAGCTCAACTGCAATCTGGACAATAGAAAAGCAAGCTATCCTTTCTTTATTGCTTGAGAAAATCACTTGATTTATTTAAACATAAATTTAGAGGTTTAATCTTTCGGAAAATCCCTGTGTTGCCTGAGCTTCCTTTCTGTCTTACTGCACTTCTAGGCTGATTTGTTCTTTTTCTACTTCTGTTCCTTCCCCTGCATATGAAGTTTATTTTCTATTAAAACTGTGCCTCAGGAAAACTTGTAACATCCTCATATCCCATCCAGATTAATTACACTTATTATATAAGCCACCTTTACGATTCAGAGCAAAGTATTTTTAATGCAGTTTTTCCTCACACAACAAGCTGAGTTTTTTTTCCCTCTTCAAGTTTAATTTAAAAAGTCATTAACAGCTTTCAGTAGTTTGTTTGATTAAGAAACAATAGAGCTTTTTATGTAGCTGTAGAAAGTCCTCCATGCTGACTTCCTCAGCTATGTGTAATTATTTGCATCCTTGGCTATTGGAAGTGGGCATGGCTTCTTGGACCTCAGAGAAGTCATTGCAGCTCATCTTTTCTATGGTCTCTGCGAAGGTGGAAAGGGACACTTAAAACTAAGGTTTAGCATGACCCTGTCCTCACTGTAACTAGAAAAGTGAATACTCCCGTTTACTTCAAATCACAGTTCTCCATTCCATTAAAGTGTATGAGAGAAAATAAATCTTTGGAGACTCCTCAACATTTTATACTAAAAAAGAAAAAGCTAGTAAACTTTTTCCTATTTCTCTCTAGAGTAGTAAGTTAGGTGTGAAACACTTTTGTAACACTTATTTCTTACTCTGCTGTTGTAGGAAGCTTTGCTTCAGGAATTAAGTCAGCCACACGTTGCCAGTGTTGAGGTAATTCAACAAAATCTCTGCAAACCCTGATTTGTAGGTTAGTTCCTACTGGGATATTGTGTAAGAGTTGTCTCAGCTCTCGCAGAGTCCATCCTAATACATTAGCATGTCCAATTTTTATTAGAATGTCACCTGCCAAGGGAAAAAATAACAGTAGTCAGCTTAAAAGAATTTTTCAGATTTACTGCATTTATATTACAAAATAGGAAATCTTAGCCACTCTGCTTTCACATTTTTATATGAAAATGCATTCCTTAAGCAGCTCTTCAAACCAGTTGGCACTTTTTTTGCTTTCTTTTTTAATGAAAGATCTTTCAGTAGCTCTGTCAAGTGCTAACCTCATAACACTATGGAAATCTATTTCCTTTAGGATTTGTCTAAATTAATGTGCTAAACTTCGGGTTGCCTGCTCAGGGCCAGCTTGCATTTCTGTGTTTTTCTAGGAGAGAAAAGGTACAAACGTGAATACACCAATCAGTAACACTGCTTTGGACTAAGCAAGATTCCAGCAAGGTTGAGGTGAGGTTACACAACTGCTCTGCTAACAGTGCTGCTCTTGGCATCCTTGCCCTGTTTCCTGGGATCTCCTCACAGCTGGAATAGCCTGTGTGTCTATGCTGCCTACCCTTGGATTTCACCTTAACAGTGCTGCTCTTGGCATCCTTCCCCTGCTTCCTGGGATCTCCTCGCAGCTGGAATAGCCTGTCTGTGTGTATATGCTGCCTACCCTTGGATTTCACCTTGTTGTATCTGTGTTCGTATCGATCCCAACAGGCCTCTTCTTCCCTAGTGACTAAGTTTACCTGTGTGGAGTCAGGGAATCTCTGTAACTGCTGTGTCACCTTGCCCCAGGTTTGGCTGTCCTTGGTGCCTAGTCCTGGGCTCTGAGAACAACTGACACGTTGGCATGGTGCAGGATGCTGCCAGGGCAGGGGGGCGATGTGGGATATGCCCATGAGAGCTGGTCGTAGTGTGTAATTTAACTGGGGACTTCCAGCAGAAAGGAGGGTGTGTGTGTAAGGGATAAGGATGCAAGTAGCACTCAATATAGGCCCCCAGTGGAAAGCACTGAGCTGCAGTTTTGTAAAATGCAGTACTGCAGCCAAGAACGAGGGAGCAGACAAACCCCAGCACCAATACAGCGGTACGTATATGCTGGGAAATCAAGAGATGGGCTTTGAGGGGTTCTGGGGCTTGCAATTACTGAGTAAGCCTGTAATTTTGGAGAGGGTATAAGGCAGGCAGAATGAATCTGTGGCAGATTAGAGGTCTATGAGCACCCTGGCAGAAACGGTTGCCCTGAGGAACAGTATCAGTAACATTATGTACTGAACCGCAACAGAGAAGCATAGGGGACTACAACAAGCAGTACTGCGGTGTGCTGCCGTATGAGGCAGAGCAAGGAGCTGCTCCGTCTGCTCTATTTTGTTAATGCTTCTGGGTTAAAAACACCTCTGCCAGGAACTGTGACATTAAGTCATAAAATAGCCTGAACTACTGGCTACCACTGCGTTTTCATTCACTTTTTTTTTCCCCACCACTTTTCCTTCTACTTCAACTCCATTACCCTCTCCCTCCACACAACCTTAGCTCAAAATGAAGATTTGCCTCTTCCTTTTGTCTAGTCCCCCACACCAAAATGATTGTGCTGTTGGCAGACCATTAAGAGATGGATCATCTACAAAATACTGTCTTTGCTGCGAAAATATATAGCTTTAGTCTTCCAATACTAGGTTTATGTAAGTTCATTATAAACAGGAATTGAATCAATTCAGCTGTTAGGTATCTTTTTTTTTTGTGGAATTTACTGACTTAGAACCAGGTGCTTTATAAAACATGCTCAGATTTTTCCTTTTGGCCACAACATGAAAGATCAGCTACAAAGGCACAGTGTTTGTTACCAGTCATCAATCCCCTTCAAAACTGTTCAGTACTTGCTGCAGTAAACCAAAGACATCATTTGACTCCCTGTTTGTGCAGACTTTATTGAAGAAGCTTTTCTAACTTGTATTTTTCAAACTATTGTAAAAAAACTACTTGTTTTCAGTGATTCTTATTCTGTATTTTATGCCTTACAGATGTAAAAAAAAAAACCCTATCATATATACATCTTTGTATATATATACACACACATATATACACCTATGTATACACAAAGATTTTATATATATACATATATGCATATCTTTGTATACATTTTTTTTTCTTAAGAGTAGCTGAAAACTCCTCAGATAATAATACAGATGATAATACAAAAAATACACTTAGTTAGATGCAAATCTATTTCTATTTTATGCTCAGGATTTTTCCATTGATTTTCATACTCAGATCAAAAATGCAAAATTTTTTCTAGAAAGAGGTGCTTCACCCGATGGCTTCTACTTTGTCAAACAAGTAGATCTGTTTCTTGGTGCTTGTAATTCTAATCCTGTCTGAAAGGTGGGGGAAGAAAGTCCTGCCCAAACTATGAAGACAACACTAGGAAAGCTGTTCTTGTCTAAAGATGTGCATTTTCAGCAGACGGCAAATATATTTCACTACCCTCAAGTCTTTGCTTCATAGATTTCCTCATCAGAGACCATTTAAAATTTAGTAATAACATAGCACACAAATCATTCCTAAACTGTATTTCATGAGGCTAATGCAATTGGTCTGGGGAGCCATATGAAGCTGTCCAGTTTACAGAGCTTTCAATTACAAGATTAATATAAGCATCCAGTGTTCTCCGGGAAACCTTAAGGATTAGTAATAACCTGTTAGTACTGATATAGCACATTTCAGGTGCTTCATGAGCAAGCATTAGCAACTCCTGCATGAGCTGTTAGAACACAGAGACTATTGCAACTACAGTAAATATTCTATATACTAAAAAGAGCAAACAATAAGGCAAAAACATTAAAGCCTTCAGAATGGTTTGTGATGCCTGTAGAGTGAAATTATTGGGAAAAAAATGCAGTTAACAAAATCCAATAATTAAAACTATAGTTATTATATGGAGGTTATAGTCCAAGCATTTTTGGAGAAATCTGCTGTGAATCAGTAGGAAATCTGTTTTTTTGTTTGTTTTTGTTTGGTTGGATTTTTTTCCCGGAGAACAATGTACACACTTAAATCTTCATGTGATTATGAAATAGTCACCCATAGCAGCTATTTTAAGATCACAGGTATTTCATTACAAAGGAATGCTGACATTGAACTCTACAGAGTTTGTGCCTGTTTCTTTTTCTCTGTTATTTTAAACTGAGTTGCTTTTGATCCATATAAATGTAAATAAAATCAGAAGCAGGCTCAAAGCATAAATGCAAAACAGGAACATTTTAAAGATATTTAATTTGAATATCAGTGTTATTTGTTTTTACCTGGTTTTAGCTTTCCATTTTGAGCTGCAGAGCCTTCCTCAACAAGATTTGTTATCTGGAGATACGATCCATTCTGAATAACTATAAGACCTAATCCTTGTTCACCCATCCTAATATTTGCCTTTACTGTTGCACTTAGTGCATGCTTAGAGATGTTTTCCAGTGCTCGAAACTGCCCTTTGAAAAGTGAAAAGAAAATTTTACTAGTTGAAAGTGTGATATTATTCTTCAATAAAATGTTTAAGGAAATATTTGAGCAGATACTGAAACCCAGTCTTAATTATCCGATTAGTTAACTCCTTCATCCTTCATTGCTTCTTTGGATACGTGTTGCCTGCTGTGTTGCTGCCAAAAAGCTATGTTAACAACACTTAAAAAAGTTAGTGTAGTCTGGAAGCTAGATCTCTGCAAATAAATATTCTGTAAGTAGTTTTTTCATAGAACACTTAGCAACATATCATTTTTTTATTTCATACATATTACTGAAAGATAAAGTAATACTGCTGTTATTTAAGCGTTCATTAAAAATGGTGGTACATCCAGGGAAGGTAAAGAACACAGGACAGAATAACAGCACAGAGGAGTTGTCAACTGTTAAGGATTTCTATAAAGCTTTGAATTCCGATCAAAAATGTATTTTTCACACCAATATTTATAGAGGAGATTAATTTCTAAATTTCCAGCAGATTGGTTTCACACACTAATGCTGACATGAAGGAAGGGTCTGTACTCGCCAAATTTAGCACCTACAGAAATGAAATACTCTGGAGCATCCAGTATCCATTAAAATGCATAATACAAGTAATACAATATAAATGACATTATCCCAGTGTCTCCACGGAGAAATATAATAGGATAATAAACTAAATCCTACACCTCTTGTGCCTGCTCTTCTCATGAAGAGTCAGGAAAAGTATAGGACTTACATACAAGTGCTTGAACTTCCTACAATAAACTGTCTTCCATTAAAACCGACTCTTTTAAGTGCTCTGTTTTAAGAACTAGCCTGTAAGCGTATCTTCTACGTTTACAGTAGGATAGCGATAACTTTAACTGCTTGAGCACTCTCTCTCCAAAGTTTTCAAATCATTTAATGAAAACTCCAACCACTTTACTCTGCCTATTTCAAGTACAGAGACTTGATTATCTTCCCAATGGCTTCAGTTGGCTTTTGATCAGGCCCTAAATGCCAACACAGAAAGTCTATAAAAGAATGTAGATTAAAAGTAGGGCAATGTGAATATTTGATTTGTCAGTTTGGCTGCTAAACAGAAAGCCAGTAAGAAGCAGAAATAGTCTACTTTTTTTTTTTCCTTTCCAAATAAAAATTCAGGCTTTTGTTGTTGTTGTTGATAATGTTAAGAAAAAATGTGAGTGTTGTGAATCACTTGATTTGAATAAAATGTTTAAGTTCCACAATCATGTAGGAAAAGCAAAGGAAATAAGACCCACTTCGCAGCACACTCTCATCTGTTGGCCGTTCTGGGAGGTCAGATGTCCGACCTGCTATTTCTGCAGTGGATGCCCAGGAACTGATGCAAAGCGGTTCATGATCAAGAGGAGGTAGTGAAACCTTTCCTATGGTGATTTTGGTCACTTTTCCAGAAGTGCATGTTTTTATCTTTTCCAGTCAGCATAGGGAACTAAATCCTGGTTTCGCACTTCCAAAATGAGTACTTAACTCCCAGGCCACTAAATGTAAACAGATGATACCATGAACTAGGGCTGTTTTGTATTGTTTTCTAGCCAGAATTATTCAGCAAATTCAATTAAAATTCATGAATGACTGTAGGTCAGCTTATGATCAGCACTGAAATGACAAACAAAAAAATGCTAATAACAAATCTAGCTAACTCTAATTAGAAGTCAGAATCCTGACTTTTAAGCTTGTTTTTATTACATTAAGTTATCTTGCTGCATAAGAGAGATTCAAAACTGCAAAACTGTGACTAATCCAGAGCCTACAAAGCATTTAGAGAAATACCATGATTTCACGTTTTTAGATGAGATTCTGGAGTTTTACCATACCAGATATCAGTCTGTATCGTCTCCAAGCCAAGTGCCTCAATTTTATCTTTGTTCTTTACTGGAGAAGACTGACACGCTTGACAGAACTTACCTTGCTGTTCTGCTAACACTGGTCTCATCTTTTTTCCAAAGCCACTCTTAAAACCTGCAGTTTCTGCAATAGCCTGGGGTCTCATCTTCTCCTCTTGAAGTAACATCCTTCCCCTTTTGTCATCCCACTGACTATTCCACTCCAAATACCTAACCACAAGAGAGAAATCTCCCTTGATTCTAGGAAAATTTGGGGCACTGGGGATCTATGGAGAAGATAAATTTTCTGGTAGCAAAAAGACTTTAATGTTTTGAGATTCCCTGAAATACAGGACTGGAAGAAGGATACCAGGCTAGCAAGGAGGAGGTGGAAAAGAAAATCGGCAGAGACATGAACAGAGATTGAAGGTCACAGGTTTCATGCCTACCTGCTGGCTCAGAAGCCCCAGCACGTTTCATTGAGCCAAGACCAAGTGGTTTCCTGAGCTGCCAAGACCAGTGAGCAAGCACGTCCTGGAAATCAGCTGCTGCTCCACGGTGGCCTGTGGAAGAAGAGCAGGTTGGCAGGTAGGGAGAGGCTTTCGAGCCCTGTGGCCGTTTAGAACATGATGGTGCGTGGGTTCTCGGTGCCCGCCAGAAGACACCAACAGGATCCACACGGTAACGGCACTGGTGGGACCCATGTGGCAAAGGGGCTGGTGGCATCTGCGCATTGCAGCAACTGCGAATCTGCCCTCTGGCTGGGGCTCTGTCCAGTGACGCAGGCGTGGGGACGGAGGCAAGGGAAGTTTGGCTTTGGCAAATGATCTGGTTGTACTGATTGGTTCAGCCCAGGGGAGAAATTTGATCTGGGCTGCCCGATTGGGAGTATTGCAGCTCAGACTCTCTGTGGTTGCACAACTTCTTGGAGTGTGTAAGCTTGCAGACAACACCTATAGGCACGTACTCGTCTCTTAACAACCTGAGAACGATGAAGATTGGATTCTGTCACCACTTCTGACTTCAGATTTGTCTGCATAGCAGAAGCCCATGAGAAAGGTATCTTCCCTTTCTGTCCCCTCTCTGCGCTGCCATCCTTTATGCCCTTTGCCATGAAGCTTATTTGGAGTTAAACTCATTTTGAGACAGAGTTTTCCATAATGCTTGTATTAAAAACTATTTAAATACCACTTAAAGCTGGTTTATAGGATGGTTAGAAATCATACTTCGAAAATAACTTCCTTTCAAGACTGCTGGATTCCCATTGTTAGTGCAACGTAAGTTCGAAGGGTTTTAAATAAAAATCACATCTCCCATTTCTGCCTCACACCAATTGTTCCTTGTTTAAAGGGAACAGTTCCAGATGGTTTTCATCTAAAGTCTTACAGTTTCCTCCATCCTTAAAAGATCTGTCAAGGATATTTAAGTACAACCTAAGCAGAGCTCTTGTCCTCCAAGTTCCTGAAGATTCCTCTTGAACATATCAAGATTTCTTTACTAGCATCTCCCTTTTGTGAGCCACAGCGTGCCATCTAATATTCCACCTGATCCAAAGTGATTCTCAACATTCTCTGCAGCTATGTTAACACTTCCATAAAAACAAACAGAACAATTGCTCTTTTGGTTTTCCAGTATGTTTTGTATAGACCACAGTTAAGCTTGTTGGTAAAAACAGGTGGGTGTTGCCAGCAGGAAAAAAAACACTTTGTGCAATGTGGTATTTTCCAAGTACCTGCAGATGCGGGGGCTGCTGGACTAACCACCACGTGCCCAGCATGGCCATGCCCGTCACAGAGCCTGGACTTGCTGGGGCCTGAGATAGGGTCACTTACTGCTTTTAGTAACTGTGCATTTAGTGGCTTCAAGGGCTTTTTCCCCTTAGAGGCATATTGCAAGGGAAAGCAGGTCATCAGAAACCGCTGCAAAGAGTTCTCCAGCCAAGTTTAATTTGGATTGCAACGCAGCACAGCATTTCCCCAGTTCCCTGCACCCGTGAGGAACCAGCATGGATCGGTCCTTCCACCTTCCCCCTTTTTGCCTTTGCTTTAGCCCCTACGGAACTAACTCTCATAGTTAAGCCCCCTGTCCTGAGGACAGAGTCCCGAGAGGCCGTGCTGGGCCCGGGGACACCGGCCTCGGGAGAGCGGCCACCAGCACCACACGCGGCCGCACCTCCCTCACCCA